TCCAATGTTCTGCAGCCAAAATGAAGGCAATTTTAAAATATGATTTTATCTTGTTTGGTTTCTGCAATTACCGTGGTGGTCTATATACTCATTACATGTAAAATGAAAGCAAGTCTATCATGACACACAAGGCTAGAGTGATTTAAACATTATTTTAATACTTGGGGCTGATGTATTTGCTACTCTTAAGTAGATGTGTAGGGAGGATATTCAAGAATATGTACTTCAATCTCTCTGAGATAAATAGATTTCACCTAAAGGTAGGGTCAGCGTTTTGCGTTGTCTCAGTAGGAAACTTGTTAATTTACTTCTGACTTTAGACAGCTGATGTTAGTCTTGGAGAAAGGGAGATGAGATGAGGGGCTCTCCCAGCAGTTTCTCAAGGGTAGGCTAATTAATAGTCCTGAATTCCTAATGCTCCTCAGACGTTGTTTGAAATGGACTCCTGAATGCCCAGGTCAGTGAATGGGCCTACCACACTTGGTTCATTTGCTTTGATTTTGGAAACTATTTTTTAGGGAATAATAAAAGATTGTGTTTCCAAATATTTTTTTTTTGTAAAGTCACTACTGATTTAATACTGAATCCTGAATGGGGACAAATAAAGAGAATTATTTCATTTTCGATTTACCAATAAATATATACATGTGAAAATTCCCTCAAAACGGCAATGTGGATAAAATCCATTAAGATACCCTGTAATAGTATACGTCACACTACTAGCAATACAATTTACTTTCAGGACAGAAAACCACTTCAACATTATAAAATACTTCATTATAAGAAATTGCCAAAGCATTATGTAGAAATGTACAAGCATTTGTTCTGAAAACTCAAATGAGTCTCCTAAAAATGATCATATATTCTAAAGCTGATGTTTAAAAATGACAAAGCTTTTCCATAGTCTATCAATAATTAAGATAAAACATTAAAAACATCTCTTGCAAGACCAAATAACTAAGCTCCATAATGATGTACTGGCTGCAGGTGAGGAATTCTTCACCGGGTTAATGAGGCACCAATGACTCATGGACCAATAAAAAGATAAAGCACATCAGATCAGAGTTGCTGTGCAATTGAGGGTTGCATGTCAAACTCTAAATACATGCTAAGAATCAATACAGGACCAGCATGTGGTGGGTCACACCTTTAATTCTAGCACTGGGAGGCAGAAGCTGGCGGATCTCTGTGAGTTTGAAGCCAGCCTGGTCTACAGAGTGAGATCCGGGACAGTCAAAGCTACCCAGAGAGAAACCCTGTTTCAAAAAAACAAAAACAGACAAACAAAGAGTCAATAGGAAAATAACCACGATCATTTGAGAACAAAAAGTACTGGTGGTTGGTGGGGTGGGCTTTCTGTATGAGCTGTTTCTCCATAAGTATGAAAAGGTCTACTCTCAAAATTAACCATGACTTGATCCATTCTAGCCAAAATGAAAATATTCTTTGTTAAGAGCTTTGCTTCTTTTTTCTTCCCACACAGTCTTTTCCACTGTGTGTGTGTGTGTGTGTGTGTGTGTGTGTGTGTGTGTGTGTATGAGTGTATGTGTTTGTTCTTATAACTGAACCCAGGATCTGGTACATGCTAAGCATCCAGAGACATAACCACAGCCAATGTTCACAGTCTAAGTCCCAGGTCCAGCTGTGCTCTCTGAAACCCTCACTGTCCTTCAGAAAGATGACTCTCCTGTCCGGCTTTCCTTCTGCTCCTCACAGATACATGCCAGCCAGGGATATCGTTCCCTAATTCCTCTATAACCCAACATCTAGGGAACAATTCTAATCCTGTTCTCATCTTGATTGTCAACAGGATATTTATACAGCAGATTTGATAAGGCATTCGTCTTGAATCAGGGTCTACCAGGAGCAGGAGGAAAATAGGGACTGGAATAAGATTGTGCTTTGATAGTGAGACTCTGGTTTGGGCCGAGGGCTCCTGTTACACAAGGCTTGTGTACCCTACTGATGGATAGGCATTCTGATCAAGCCGCATGAGTTACCAGGGCCAAGAAGCCTTGTGGGGAAAACCCATAAACTTTGCTTTCTGCTTGACTGCAGATATAGTTTATCGAAGCTCATGGATTAGAGGGTAAAGTTATCTGACTGAGTTCCATGGTCTGCAAACAAACTATAAGTAAATGCTGAAGAAAAGGTCCTGTTTCACCAAATGGCCCACATCATTGGAGCCTAGGCTTTGGAAGCCCAGTGGCCGTCAGTATGGAGAGGAGAGACTAAGTCTGCAAAGGGCTGTGCAGATGTGTGTCTAAAAACATGTGCCGGGCAGAACAACGCAAATGAGTGAGCAAGACCAGTGTCTGGGAGCTGCAGTGTATGTGTTTACATCAACCAGGTGGTGACCCGTCCTGAACTCAGTAATCACTGAATTCCCTGGAACGGCTTGTCCCAAGTATGCCTAAAGTCACAGCATCGGACGTCCAGGAGTTGAGGTGCATCACTAGAGGGTGGAGGCAGATTGGGATGATGGGGTAACACACTGAACTGAACACATTAGTGGGGCTTGCTTGCCCATTTTCAGAGCTCAGAGTTCTGGATGCAGAGGGTTTGGGACAGAATCTGGAATTAATCACGTGCTCAATGTTTGTTAAACTGCCAAGTATATTTTAAATTGTATTATTATGTTTATACCTACATTAAGGAAGAAAGTTTCTTGATGGGGAGCAACCTTCGATGCTATTCTTTCTGTAACTTGATTGAAAATTTTGGGTTAAAGGGGTCTGCAAGATGGTTCAGTGGGTAAAGGAGATTGCCACCAAGTCTGACATCCTGAATTTATTTCCCCCAAACCCACATAATGGGAGGAGACAACTGACTTCCGCATGTGTTTGCTGACTGACACACATGTGCACAAGCACATATAGATTGTATGCATAAAATAAGCAAAGCCATTGAATTATAAATATTTTAAAGTGTAGGTTAATATATGCGATGTTCATTACTGTGATGGAAAGTACAATGCTTATTCTGCAGATTAAAAAGCATTTCATACATTCTATTGCCTCCTTAAAATTTTTGGGTAGAAATAAAGGAACTCTAAATTGCATCCAGTGCTATGTAAATCTAGTAACTCGAAGTGCTGAAAGCCCAGCATTTTTAAATAAATTGTATTAAAATCAAGAATGTAAGTTTAAAATAGAGCTATAGGCTGGGCATGGTGGCACAAGCCTTTATTCCCAGCACTCAGGAGGGAGAGGCAGGCAGATCTCTGTGAGTTTGAGGCTAGTCTATAGAGTCAGTTCCAGAAGAGCCAGACCTACGTACAGAGAAACCCTGTCTAAAAAAACAAAACCAAAAACCAAAACCAACAACAAATAGACAAACAGCTAGGTACCACATTGAAAGTGTCAACAATGTATGGGAAGGGTTTTAGCTTTATTGTATATACTTATTTTTAAACTTTTAGAAGAACAAGAACTCATGCATGCTTTTTGCAATGAAAAAGCAAAAGAGCAAGAAAATAACATAGGATTTCATATACAAATTCCTAATGATTCCTTCCTCCATGTAAAACCTATCTTACTAAATTCAGAGCTCTCTGCGCTAGAAAACACATGGAGGAATTCAGATATGGTCCCTACCCTCAAGAGGACTATATAAAGACACATGTCTAAGATGCTTGAAGTAGGAACAAGAATGAAGTGACTTCAAAGACATTGTCTGGGACCAGATCTACAAGGTCAGGCATCATGTTGTTTCCATGTAATAAATAGTTCCCAAGTACATTAGGAAGACTGGTGCTAATTGATGGTAGGCCCGAGAATCTGTTTCCATGCCCATTATTTCTTTGAACTTATTTGTGAAACCCAACATCCAGCCTTCAAACTGCTGTCTCCAGATGTCAAAAACCTCATCTTATTTTAGTTTCAGTCAGTCTCAAGAGTGGAGAAAAAGTAATTTAGACACATAGTTAAGGGTTGGAAATGGTATGCCAAAAAGGATGCTTGATACCTGTATAGTAGAAAGTCCTTTCCTTTGATCTCGTGTGGAAACAAGTCAAGTTGGGATCCTCCCAAAAGTCAGAGGACCGTTTGGGGTTGCGAAAATCCAACTGATGTGTCAAGTGTAGCGTTGCTTTGAAAGAGAGCAGCTAGCGACACAAACGTTAGATTGCCTATTAGCAATGGCAATAAACAGTGTAAGGGAGCTGTAAGGAATCCTCAATGAAAGATTTAGACCTCGAAATCCGGACAAAGGGTCCAGACACACTGGCACACAGGTCACCTCTGCCAGGGACTAATACTAAGCTGCACATCTAACGCTGCTCTATGTTTGCTACAGGGGACAGTAGATAGGTCTGCCTGGCAAGGAAAGGACCCACTTCATGTGGTTAATAATACAGTTAATGGCATACACATATATGATTTGGTAAATGTTGGCAGTATTTAATTAGGAGTATTAAATAACAAATCTTTTGCCCTCTTTAATGCAAAGTGAGTCATTTTACCTCTTTCCTTTGTCTATTTCCTAAATTTGCTGCTGTGAACGATATTTTAAATTCAGACGAAACAAAAGGACAACTGATCTTTACAAAACATGATAGCCTATCAAGGTGATAGCATTGTTGAACAGAATAAAGTCTTACCATTTAGCACATCTTATAATAAAGATTTATCACAGCAAAGATCTAGGCTAGAATATGGCGGTCACAGTTGTGGACTTCCAACTTTATTTTCAGGTAAAAACTAGTCTTTTAATAGTAATTGATAGGTAATTCTGCTAACTGTGGTACTTAGGATAATTGGGGAGTGGAACTTCATGTGGCGGGAATATAAAAACCCCACAGGAGATCAGTTCCCTGATGCCTGACTCAGTGTAGGAGAACAGAGGTTTTGTCCTTTGCATCCCAGACATAACTTCTATTCTTCCATAGATTTTTTTTAATATGTTGAGATATCTCTCAGTTTGCAATTGTAGGTTTTCCTTTATTTTTATGTATAGACATTTTAGAATGTGCAGAAATGCCATGTTTACTTTATGTTATCCAGGGGAGAGCATGAATACAATCCCTCCCTACCACAAATCAATGCATTTGAGTTCCCTTCATTTGGAGAAATCACAGGGGTCAGCCTATCTATCCGGAGTTCAATGGATGGTGCTCACCCCGGGAAAACCACCTTCATGATCATGATATTTCCTTTGCCAGGTAAGTATATGAAATGCCACATTTCAGCTTGATTGGTTTTGACCCATGACTTTTCAGACTTTCCAAACAAGTGGAAAATTCTTTTAAGTTACATCATAAAACTAGCATTACAGCTTTTAACACGGGCAGTTTCGACACTCAAGATTGATTTCACATAAACGTTCATCAGAGTGAATGTCTTGCTATGGCAATTAATAGCTACATCTGAAATAACTTTGAATTTTCCAAAAGTCCATGCAGAAAGAGCAGGCCTGCTGCACAAAAAATCTGTGTCAGGCAGATATGCGACAAGCAAATTCCTTCCCTAAAACTGATCTCGACCTGAATAACCTCCAAGGAACTTTTGATGTGGTTCCAGGCTCCGAGAACAAAATAGGAAACAATTTCCATGGTGTAAGTGTTCCAGAACTTCCCCGGACAGGATCAGAGGGGTGTTCTGACCTCAAACATGAATGAGGATTGTGGATGGGGTCTGAAGAGCAACGAGGTGACCATTTTCTAAGGCTGGAGAACGGGAATGACCCTAGGAAAAGCTTCGTTGTCTCCCGTGTGTTCTTCTGAAGTCCTGTCTGTTTATGAGTCACTCTGCATGCTAACCTGGGTCCAAATCCCAACTAGCTGAAAAAGAAGCCCAAGAATCCGAAGAAATGGGATCAGACGAAGGCAACACGAAACAGTCAGAAGCTGGCATTTCTAATTTTTAATTACATTTTAGAACATCACACAATTTTGGCAAATAGCGGGGAATGCTTTTCCTTCACGCGCTCCCCCAATATTTAATTATGGCGCATTCAAAAACTGTATCGCTTCAAGAGCGTCCAAGTTTTGAATGAGACAAAGATGCCGAGGATTAGGGCACAAGATTAAATTTTGTAAGGGTTGGGTTTTGTTCTGTTTGGGGTTTTCCAGATTTTCAGCGAGCACATTGTTGCTGTCTTCCACAATACCTCCTTCATAATCCTTTCTCTGAGCGCTTAATCCAGCGCTCAGTGGTTCTCAACCTTGCTAATGCTGAGGCCCTTTAATACGCTTCCTCATGTCATGGTGACCCCCAACCATCAAATTATCTTGTTGCTTCTTCGTAACTGTAACTATGCTACTATTATGAATTAAAATGTAAATGTCTGATGTGTCCAATGGTCTTAAGTGACCCCTGTGTAATGGTCATTCAACCCCCAAAGGAATTGAAACCCACGGGTTGAGAACTGCACCTCTAGGTCTTCAGTTTTGGCTTTATGGGAACAAATTGTGCTTTAACGTGAGCAGTAAGATTATACAGGGCTGTAGATTACTGTATTGCACTCCCAGGCACCTTCCCAATGTTTCCCTGTCCTTAGCTCAAATATTCCCTTAGCCTGACGGATGACAAGCCGGGTTCCTACTGTACTTTAGCTACACACATTGCTTGGAAGCTGGCTCTTAGGTATTTGTTTCATCTCTGTCTCTTGAGCTTAGAAATTAAATTTAGGAATAAGGAATCAACCTGGGAATGGCTTCTCAGGCCTCTAATTCCAGTATATGGGATGCTGATACAGGAGGATGCCCATGAGTGATCCCAGTCTGGAATATATAATGAGGGCTAGAAAACCTGAGTCACAGGGAGTTTCCAAAACAAACAAAGAATCAAAACAAAACAAAAGCATGAAACTGTCACTCAGAGAGACTTTGTGTGACCGATGTCCTCCACTGCCAGCTGGCCTTGAGGCATTTGCTCTGACCAGACTGGTCATTTCTCATCAGGAGACCTTTGCAGTCCTATTCTGATTGCTGCCCTCCAGGAGGCCCGGGAACAGGTTGAAGAGCGCTATTGGCCAGATATGAATTTTACCTTTATTTTATTGTTCCAGTCTCGAGCTTAAATTGTTCTTTAGTACACCTGTACATCCTGTTTCAACCCTGCAGCTCACTTGCAAGAGGCTGTGAGCATAGATGCAGGTTCTTGACTGCATAAACCTGGAGAAAGGACCCAGTGGCTGGCGAATTTGGCACCACATCTTAGACAATCTGTGAGTTCCTTCTGGTGCCTCTGTTTCCTAGCCATCTGGTGCTGTAGTTTCCCTTACCTCTTAAGTCAGATTTTATAATATGAGTTCTTTGGGTTGAGGTAAATAGCTTTATGTTTTTAGAGTCTTTTCACAGGAATTCATGTGAAAGAGAAGAGAAATATTTCAATACCTTCCACCATGCCTGATGTTTAGACCTGTTTGCTATGCCTGCTTTTCCAACATCTACATCCTCCTGCCTCGACCTTCAGAATGCTGAGATGAAAGGCATGCACCACCATTCATAGTTGAAGTTCAACTTTATTTATTGTAGGGGCTTTGAGATCACTTAGTATACTTATATTATTTGAGAATCCATAAAGTAGAGGTGCAGTGGCATTTCATTTGTATTTTATTTATTTTTTATTTTTTATTTTTGGATTTTTCGAGACAGGGTTTCTCCGTAGCTTTTGGTTCCTGTCCTGGAACTAGCTCTTGTAGACCAGGCTGGCCTCGAACTCAGAGATCCGCCTGCCTCTGCCTCCCAAGTGCTGGGATTAAAGGCGTGCGCCACCACCGCCCGGCTTCATTTAAATAAAGCTTGCCTGCGACCAGAAAAGTAAAAACAGCCACACTGGCCAACCTTACAGACCATAGAGCAATGACACATACCTTTAGCCCCAGCAGCCACAATGACACAGACCTTAAATCCCAGTAGCCACAATGACGTGCACCTTTAATCCCAGTAGCCACCCTAGTTGCCATAGAAACCAGGCAGTAGTGGTGCACGCCCTTAATCCCAGAACTAGAGAGGATTATAAAAGAGGAAGAGACAGCTCCCAGTCTCAGTCTCATTGTGAGGTTCCCTGGAGACAGAATCGCCATTTTCAGACTGAGGCTGTAGTAAGAATCATGACTGGTTGCTTTGCTTTCTGGTCTTCAGGTTGAACCCCAATATCTGTCTCTGAGTTTTTATTAATTATGTTTCTACGTAAAGCATTTTTCAAATATAGATCCTGTCCTCATTAAGACAGAACATAAAACAGTATGGGCAATGCTACTCCAGGCAGTTCCGAATCTTGATTTGATTCTTTAAAGTTAGCAGTGAACTTCTAGACATCATGGTGTACCACATGCAACATGAAGTGCCGAGGGGTCAGCTTTCCTAGCCATGCTAACATTCTAGTTTCTGAAATTGCAAAGCATGGGATGTATAATTACCTCACAGAGGCACAGTTCGACATAAAGTAAAGACACCCGGGGGTTGGAGAGATGGCTCAGAGGTTAAGAGCACTGGTTGTTCTTCCAGAGGTCCTGAGTTCAATTCTCAACAATCACATGGTTACTCACAACCATCTGAAATGAGATCTGATTCCCTCTTCTAGCTCAGGGGATACACACAAGTGGAATACTTTATACATAATAAATAAATCATTAAAAAAATTCTCAAGACTTTAAAAAAAAGCTGGGCAGTGGTAGCCCGTGCCTTTAATCCCAGCACTTGGGAGGCAGAGGCAGGCAGACCTCTGTGAGTTCGAGGCCAGCCTTGTCTACAAAGCAAGTTACAGAACAGCCAGGACTGTTGTTACACAGAGAAACTCTGCCTCGGAAAAGAAAAAAGTAAAGACACTCCTTGCTTATCTTCCATTTAATTATACTTCCTAAGAGACAGAATTGGATTTTATTGGTAGCACAGACTATGCATGGCAGAGTACTATCTTTTTTAATTGTAAATTAATACAATGTATTGTGATTGTGGTTTCTCCTCCCCTATCTCCTCCAGGATTCTTCCCAACTCTCTGACTCCATACCTTCTCTCTCTCTCTTTTCTGGAAAACAGGCAAATAAAAAAGAAAACAAATAATGATGCTAAAAATAATGATTAAAAACAGCAACAAAGCATAAGAAACCCTCACAGGCATGACACACACAAAAACAAAATGTGTAAAAACACAAAACTAGAAACCATAACATACAAGCACCAGTAAGATTTTTTTTTAATGTCCAAAGAAAGCAATATGTGGCAAAAAAAAAAAAAATCTAAAGAACCACTACTGAGTTTGCTTTGTATTGGTTGTCTACTGCCAGGCATGAGGCCTACCCTTAAGTGTGGTTTATATATCAAGTGAGACACTGTGGAAGAAAACTTAATTTTCCTTTGCAAGTGGTTGTCAACTGGAGATAGCTTCCGGGTTAAGGGTGGGGGCTTGTGTCCCTTCCTGTCTCAGCAGCGGGACTCCATCTGGCTGAGAAATGTACAAGCTGTCAGAGTCTATGTGGGCTCATCTGCGTGTCTGTCCCAAGGTGTTACGTCTGGAAGACACTATTTCCTTGATTTCATCCCTCCCCCTTGGTTCTTCCCATCTTTTCACCTCCTCTTCTGCATAGTCCCTTAAGCTGAGAAGGGAAGGCTTTGATGAAGATGGTTCATTTGGGATAGAGTGTTCGAAAGTTAGAGTACTATCTTTAATACAACATTTTATACCCAATAATTTTAGAAAGGTCTGAGGTCTCTCACGGCTAATGGATCCATGCTCAGCAGGTACTGATCTAAATCCATCCTCACTGGATACTGGCCTCTAATCTAAATCATTGTCACCAGGCCCTGCCCTCTCTCTAATCTAATCTGTTTGTAGAAAATGTGAGAATCTCTTGCAGGTCATGGAATGAGTCCTGGTCAGTTTATACAGAAGGAACTGTTTCCTAAACAGGGAGCCGGGATACAGGAATGGGAAACAAGTGTCCTACTACCGGAAGCTAGAAGTTATGAAAAGAAAATATCAAGAAAATCCACTGCAAATAACCAGAAGGAAGAAGAGGCACCCACCTCCCCCACCTTGCCCCAGTGTCTTTGACCCCTTGCCCCTGTGAGTGGAGGGCAGCATTGCTTCAACAACCTCAATCTTCTCTGTATTTTTAACTTTGTTATTTCTCTTGAGTGAACAGACATGACGAAGGCTTTTTCTTTTCTCTTCTAAACCCAACCTTCTCTCTCCCCCTTTAGATAAAAGGCCACGTGAAGTACT